GTGTGTAGAAATGTCTTTAGAGAGTATAGTACTGCGCTCAGGAAGAAAAGGGCAATAAGTGCCTGGGTGCGTGTGAGCTGGGGATTTTTGTAGGCACTTAGGGAAGCAGAGGAAGGAGCTTGGGCAGTCCAGGCTCCGTCTGGAGCAACATCCAGCAGCCATTGCTGGCCCTAAGTGCAGCCTTGATGCCAGGATTGCACAGGAAGCAGAGGCTGATAAGCGAGAGAGCTTGCCAGTGGCCTGGCAATGTGTCCCCTCCTCCACATGACAGTGCCCACATTCCTGTCAATGACACTCTCCTGACAGCAAAGTCATAGGGAACAAATGTAGAGGCTTTATTTCAAGAGCATAATTAAACATCAAGACAGATTAGGGAGCTCCCTGCAAATGTCAGATGTGGTGTGAAGGAGATCTCTGCAGGGAGCCTGAGGCCACACTCTGCTGCTCCTCAGTGCTGTGGCCTAGTCCTTTTTCCCCTCTTGGGCTTACGCCCCTGCACCAGAGGAAACAGACTAGCCCCAAGGCCTTCCTCTCTTAAGATAAGACCCTCTGTGGGAAGGGCTAAGCAAATGTAGGTGCTTTATAAATCAGACTCTTGATTTGTGATTTCTCAGGGTTGTTGTCTTAGCAAATCGTATCAGCCCCACTGTCCTCTTCAATTCCAACTGTGACATTTTGTAGTTCTAGGGAAAGGGTTGAGAGTCAAAGTGAGGCTGGGTAAGTCAGGAGGTGTGGTGTTGGATCAACAAGGTAGCCGGGGAGGAGGGAGGTAGTAGTGGTGGTAAAGTTAGGGAGTGGAATGAGAGAGTGGGGCTGGGGCTGGGGCCCGGCCTTTAGCACATACACACACCCAGTTTTGTTCCTTTTTGCTCTTAATTTCTTTTCATGACACAGTAAAAACTCAGTTAATTATATTAGAGATTTAACTTCTCTCTCCAGTTCCTTAACTGCAGGTAACTGAAAATCATTGCCCTGATCCTGGGTACTGAGAGATGCAGTTTGCAGGTTTATTTTCAAGCCGCTTGTCTAAAGATTGACTAGAAAATACCAAGAGGTTACTGGAAAATGTGGTCTGTGGATTATTGACATAGAGAATCACTTCTGTAGAAAATCCAGGAGCTTTTGCCAAGTCAGAAGACAGATCCAAACTACCCAACCAAATGTATTTATAGGTTTAAAGTAAAGGTTGGGGCTGATCTCCAGGATGACATGCGTCGATGCC